CCTGCTGAATGTCATTGTTTCTTCTGATAATCTGTAGTATGAGGAATAACAATGTTAATTCTAGCTTCGACAAGGAACTTTTTGCATCTTCAAAGTTTTATGTAAGTATTAACCAAGGAATGTAGTCTTCTGGGTTTTTTTCTGTTGCAACTGGATTTCTGCTTTGAGAGATGACATCTCCCTTTCCTCCTGCATGCTTATTAAATCAGTAGTCTTTGTAAAGATGGTGTATTGCTGTCACCTCCAAGGGTTTGATTGTCAGAAGGATAAATAATCAAAGATGTAAGTCAATAGTGCATCAGCCCCAGCAGAAACGAGGTTGGAATAAAGTACCGAACTTAGATGTAGGTTTTGCTTCTTTGAAAGCTAGCGAAAAAGAATTACTTAAAAGCATAAAGCACCTTTGTTGAAGACTAAATCCCACTTGACTGTGATGTTCTGTTCTTATGTTCAGGATGGATTTTGGGCAGACCATTCTTGTGAGAAGAAAATTGGCTACATCTGTAAAAGGAAACCTATGTCAGAAGCTCCTACAGAAGAGGAAACTATTGACATGGGCTGCCAGAGAGTAAGTGAAGAAAAAGCTGTCTGATCTGAACAGGCTGCTAGGAATGATCAAGAGGAGAAAATGCCACCTAGGTGACAGACAAAACAGGAAAAATGAGTTCTGTGTTTTCATCAGAACAGTTCACCTTCTCATTTCTATGGCAGATGGGATAGGTGATACAAATGAATAAATCTAGGCTCTGACTGTCATTAGGCTATTGATGGTCCCTTTCTTTTTCCAGAACTTAACCAAAATGCAAACCTGTAGTCCCTGCAGCAGGCCATTTTTCCTTGATTGGCATTCAAGTCTTCCTAAGGAATTTTCCTGTACCAGCAGTTGCTATTCAGCTCTGTCTACAATTTTCTTCGGAATTATTCACAGCAGGAAGGGTGTGCTTGTCTACATACTATTCTCAAGGCTTTGCTGTGATCTCTGGCAGTGCTCTCTACTTTGAAGAATTTGTTATGAGTGCCTGAGCAAAATGAATCCATTGTGCTCCTTCTGAACTGCCAGTGGATCTGTTATTTATTTGGTAATGCTCACCTTCTGGATAACATAACACTCAGTAATTCTGAAAAACGTACTGTAATTTGTTATGTCATAGGGAATCTTACTGGTTTTTTTGTTTTCCATGAAAAAAATTGCCTTTTCTCCCAAGTCTGCTTTACACAGCTGCAGAGGAAGTCTTTGATGTTTATTCCCAGTATTTGTAAAAGATTACCTGGGAACCTTACAAATATTCAACTGTTGGAGAAGATGAAGGGATCCTAATGCTTATGGATGTTATTCTTGCCTAGAGAACTAAGTACATACTTGTAGAAAAACCTCTCTTATAGGTGACAAATTGAAAACCATCAGAAGAAAATTTGTGTGAATTGTGGCTGGTCATAGCAAACTCTTCCTCTGTAAGCATATTCCTGAATGAATGACATTTGAATGACAAAACATTAGAAGAGAGTGTTAATGCTAAACAATAACAAACTTGTTTGAGGTGTCATTCCCTTTGTGAAAATCCAAACTGAAATTTGCTTCTCAAGACCGTTCTCATGATTGCACAATGCCTGTGTGCTAGTTATAATCCCATACTGAGCACTAAAGGTGCAAAGCCTCTCATGCCTTTATAAGGGGAGTGCACTGATTAAAAATTCATTATATATGAAAAATTGTTTTATGAAACAAAATTTTAAAAAGCTTTAATCCTGCCTATTTCCAGTCTGTTTTTTTCAGTTCAGTTGATCCTTTGTCTAATGGTTAGCTGGCAGTGGTATGAATCAGTTTTGTTTTGTTGGGGTTTTTTTGTTTGTTTGTTTGTGTTTCAAGAAGTTTACAAAAGCTGCAACATATGTGATCACTTAATGTTTATTTTGACAGGGTTGGAAAAGATATGGTTTTTATTGTTACTTCATTGGAAATACATTTGTATCATTTTCTCAAGCAAATCAAACCTGTGGAAGGCATCAGGCCTTTTTAGCAACTGTTGAAGACAGGTATGTAAGTCTACGTGCATGAGGGGATCACATGAGGATTCAACATCTAGTATCTTCTGAATATCAAATAAAGACTTTGATATGGACAAAAATCTTGCTTGAGAGGACAGCTATCTGTAGATACAGAACTTCTCACAGTTTTTGTATGTATTCCGTTTATACTAAAAATAGGTGATGGCTGTGACATCAATATTGATATAGATGGTTATGTCAAGGAAAAAATAGAATTATCTTTTCTATTTCCTTAATTGTAGTGGCTTGAGGATGGGTTTTACTTGAATGAGGGATGCAGAATCCAGTTTTGATTATTAAATGAAGAAATATGGCTGTGAATTCCTTTCAAAAGGTATTTCAAGTGAGCAAGAGGATATAACTTTTCCCTATCTGGTCTTCTCAGAATTGAGCTACTTTTAACAAAATTAAGTAAGAAACTAAATGATGATAGAAGTGCTTGGTATCTGAAAATTCGTCACAATCAGCCAGAGTTCAGTGTGTGCTAAATCTCTGAACAGCTGATGCACATTACTGAATGTGGAATATTGGGAAAATCAAAGTTAAGATTAAGAAACAAAGCTTATTTTGCTTGCAGGTGACTCGATGCTTTACAATTTCTCTTATTTGTTTCTACATAATCTAAATAGATATATTCTAGTGTGAAAGCTCCAGCTGTCATGAATGGTAGCTCTCTGAATGTAGGTAGCACTGCAGTGGTTATAAAAATGGTTTAACATTAATGTGGTCTTCAGACTAAATGTTGTTAAGGGGAGACTTCTTTTAGGGCTCTGATTTATTAAAAGCTGGTTGTTTAAACACCGTAGTGAACTATGACAGGCTTTACCTCTACATAGGTTTGTTTCCCAAACATAGCTCTTCCTGCATGATCATTGGATCTAATTTTCAGTGTTTGACAATTTAGTATCATACCACTCTAGCCTCTACTTTTGTATATTCCTTTAATAATGCTGAGATTCCTTTTCCAGTTTTGGATTTGCTTAAAACAAGAAGTCGTTAGAATACAAGGATACTAGAAACTCTCAAAAAATACATGGCATATAAGTCATGTTGAGTTTCTTCTTTCTCACCAATTTCATGTCAGTCTGTGATTATGTCACTTTCTGGACATCCAAAGAGAAGGCAGAATACTCTGGTATTCAAGCTTACAAAATATCTATTACATAATGTCTCATTATGTGCTTTGTTCAAGTAAATCTATCCAAGCTATGTTTTCAAGAAGGTACAGTGGTAATTCTGAGAAAATAATAAGCCTTTTACAACTTTTGAAAATAAATTTAACAGTATTAATTTAATGGTTGTGTTCTTTTGAACAGATATGAACAAGCCTATCTGACAAGCCTGGTTGGGCTAAGATCAGAAAGATACTTTTGGATTGGACTTTCAGATGTAGAAGACAAAGGAACATTCAAGTGGGCTAATGGTGAATCTGTCTTATTTACACACTGGAATTCTGAAATGCCTGGTAGGTATAGCTCTATACTGTTTAATGAGTCCAGTGCCCAGAATACATTGCTCATTACTTGAATATTTTTACTTCATTCCTTAAGCCTTCCTTGATGGTATATTGACTAATTGCTCTCACATATATCTGGCTGCTCTCTCAAGCATGCAGTGCTGTTGCTAATGTCTGGCTTAGTGCTGAAATGAGTTTTTAACATGTGCTTGGGAAGAAATGGAGATGAAGATTCTGATTTGTGCCTGTTCTGGGAGGGTTTGTGTCTGTACTACTCTGAAAGAGCAAGGCATACTGTGTCCTGCTTGCAAGTCCTGCCTCATACTCGTACTACACTTTCTCACTGCATGGTCTGAGGTGTGTGAGATCACAGTATGCTTGATGAATCTCTGCTCTTAGAGAAAATGGGATTGTAGGAAAGGACAAGAGGGCCAAGGAAGATTTGTGTTTAATCTTTTTTTAGTTAATAACTTAGCTAGACTAATTGTGTTTTCCTTATTTACTAAGTTTTGTTGATGAAAACATTGCTATTTTTTTCCTGTTCTTATAAAATTACAGGGGTGGGAGCTTGTTTTATCTCTGATGTCACATCAGAAAGGGGATGGTCATCAGCTTTCAAGATTCTGGTGTCTTGCATTTGCCTTTCAAGAGATCCTCTGATTGTCTTTAATTTCAGTTCCTAAATGCTGATTTGAATGTGTCAGGTGAAGTGGTAAGGCTACGTAGCCCATGAAACCAATATATAGCAAGTTTATTTTTGAAAATCGCAGTCAAATTAGACAAATTTGAGAAACTAGCTCTAACCACATCTTCAGTTTTAGCGGAGAATTTGTTGGATTGAAGGTTATGATATTGCTAGAGTCAGTCATTGGAGGTGATTTGATGTAAGGCACAATTCAGTATCTCCAATATGGATGAACCACAGATTTTTTTGCTTCCTCTCCCCTCCCTCCCTTCTTTTCTCTTCATGAATTAGAATCATAGAATCATAACATGACAGATGGTTTGGGTTGGAAGGGACATTAAAGATCATCTAGTCATGTCCCCGCCCCTGCCATGGACAGGGACATCTTGACTAGATCTAGTGGCTCAAAGCCCCATCCAACCTGACCTTGAACATTTCCAATGGTAAGGCGTCCACGACTTCTCTGGGCAACTTGTTCCAGTATTTCACCACCCCCATTGTAAAAATATTTCTTCCTTATGTCTAATCTAAACCTACTCTCTCTCATTCTGTTGCCCCTTGTTCTGTCACTACAGGCCATGGTAAAAAGTCTTTGTCTTCCTTATAAAGCCGCTGTTATAAATTGCTGTGAGGTATCCCCAAAGCCTTCTCTTCTCCAGGCTGAACAACCCTAGCTCTCTCAGCCTGTCTTCACAGGAGAGGTGCTCCAGCCCTCTGATCATTTTTGTGGCCCTCCTCTGGACCCACTCTAATACTAGAAACATTTTTGACTCTGTGCAAAGCCTTAATTTCCATGAGGATAGAATGTGAAGTTTTCTAAATTCTCATGACCCCCTAACTGTCGCTT